AAAAATGGATGCGTGTAACTTATGTACGCGCGTGAGAAGTTATACTTCTTAAGCATCATTAAAAATATTTTTTAATTGCATAAATAATTAATAATTACTATAAAATAATAAAAGGACTGGAAAAGGATAGTTAACACAGTCAATTAAATTCAGTTTTAATTTGAAAAATTAAATAAATATTCAAAATATTCAATTAAAATCACTACTGAATTTAAGTTATTAGTCCATATGTAATTAGCCCTTGTAAGTAACTAAAACACGTTGTGTCTATATAGTAACTAGAAACATGTGGATAAATATTATAAATATGAAAACAGTGATCAGAGGCGACGAGCGTGCCAACATTGTTTTTGACAACGCGATCATCTTATGGAGCTCCGTGGATCGTTCAAAGTACCTTTCGAACAGATGTCTATTAATGGTGGATTATTAACCACTTAGTGGTTAATAATCCACCATTATTAGACACTAACATTCATAACGCGCCCGCGGCCAACTTCATGGTGTTACTATTGTGTTACAGTGATGCGCGCGCATCTCGAAATTTCACTCACATGATTTTTTCATAACGCGCCCGCGGCCAACTTCATGCTGTTACTTTTGGGTTACAGTGATGCGCGCGCATCTAAAAATTTCACTCTCATAATTTTTTCATAACGCGCCTAAAGAAGTATAACTTCAAAAATAAAAGTATTTTAGTTGAGATACATAGATTGATGTTAATTGGTTTTGTTCAATAATATTAACAATTTCACATCATAAAACTATAAAATACACTAACTATAAACAAATAAGTCTCTATCTAATTACATAATTACTATATATAAGTAAAATATAAATACTAGAACAATAAAACTAAAACTAAAAACCTTAAAAAATAAAATTAATAAATAAAATATATTATTAAAAGGAGTCCCTTTAGGCAAGGATCTGAAGATACTGGCAGCGTTACTACCCCTTTGAATGGCTAGACTAATTCTTTGGCCGAGGTAGCTGCCAGCTCTTCGGTCTCCTGTGACGTCGACTAACCTTTTTGCTATTTTCCAAAATAAAAGTAATTTGAACTTAGAATTCTTAGCGAATACAGAAAAAAAATAACTTCAAATAGCCAGAACGGCAATTTCATAGGTAAAGACCTATTTGTTATTGTGCCGACAATTGTTCCATGAAACAAAGATTTAGGGTAAATTCCCCAAAACAAAATTCAGAAATCGAAATGTTGTTTTGGACGGTAATTTTAAAATAACTTTTGTTTTTTTCTTATTTATTAGTAAGTACGCCGAGGCGCTTCCCTGACCTATTATTTTATATTTTTAAACACGAGAGGTCATTCATTCATACACTGACCAATCACGAAATCTAGAAAACTACTTGACCTATAAAAATGTAATTTTATAAGGAAATGGATTATGAATTGAAGACGTCAACTTAGCAAAGATAAAAAAAGAAGGAAAATAGGGAAAGAAGAAAGGACCTCCTGTTTCCCCTATCCAGAAAGGTTTTTAAGTTAGGTTAAGGAAAGGAAATTGAAAATAAAGGTATGAGGTTTCGGATTTCAGAACCCATAAAAATATTGAACTTTCTAGTGTCACCACTGAAAATGTTAATAGATGTTTTACAGGAAAATTTATACCTTATGTTGTGAATATGAGAGTTGGGAATCATGCAGTAAAATAAAGTTGTACACTTTATATCCTGAGGGGTAAAAACGTAGGAAAAAGTTGTAGCCTAAGCCGCGGGCAGAAAGTACAAATGCCAATTGTAAATAAAGGTGTCTTATGAAAATCTCAAGTAGAAACAGTTATCACTTGTACACAAACTCTCATGCTTATTCACGCAAATATTGGCTTTCCTTTCTCGTATTTGAACCTGTGGTAGTCAGTTTTGCAAAGAAAATTTTTAACTACTCAATTTAATACTCATCATTTAAATGCTTACGAATATAATGTTTATAATTTTTGAAGTGAAAACTTCTTTAGCGGCGTTATACACTTTTTTTTGTATGGGTAAAAAATGTTAAACTCGCTTCAGGTTAAAAACGTGGGCTGATCGCATCATGATACACAATATAATTGGAAAGGTTGTTCACTTTCAATATATTGGACGAAACATAGTAATATTTTATTTTACCGTATTATAATAATAAGCCTCTATCTAGTACGTCCACGCGGCAGCTTTATTGCGAAGAAAATGCATTTTTTTTACAATAGACGTCGCTAGGTGCGCTTAAATGTGATTCATGTAAATTGATTTCTTTACAATAGATGTCTCTAAGTGCGCTTGAACGTGATTCATGTAAGTTGATTTTTCTGGGAGATAAACTTTTTTAATGTAATATAAATTGTCATGTTTGTGTACGATAGCGCAATAAATAAAAATTGTATTCTACCACATACATGATAGTACTTTTATACTGATAATTAAAGCAATTCGTGCAAAAGTATTCCCTTACCATTCCAAAATATCAAAAATACACAACGTTAATATTCAAGTTTTCACTTCTGCCGGCACTCCCGGAGTGCAACCAGTCGATTTTTTTATACTAATGATGGAGTTTTAAACCCAAAGAAGGTAGCTGGGGCAGTTTTGTTATGGAAAGGAAATTCCAAACATTAGAGATACCGTAAACACCCACATTAAGGACTCGACTACGTTACGCGACTTATCATAAGTTTGCGTAATCATTGTAATAAGTGAAAAAGTTACTTTTCCAGCGTATTAGTCATTAATTAAATGTAGTCATTATGGTAACAACATTTCGAGTAGCTTGTCACTTTAAAATTTGCAGAAAAAAATATATCCATATCCATTTCTTACAAATGGGATATTGTGCTGTACAAAAACTGATAGAAAAATTTTAACACTAACTATTTAACACATAACTAGCGGTCGCTCCCGACTTCGTCGACGTTCCTTTATGAGGATCTAAAGAATACATGTCTCTTTGCTTTTGTTTTTGCGTGAACGACTTAAAAAAATTGTAAACACACGAACTTTTAAATTTATAGTATTTATTAGTAGGATGCCCAATCCAACCCACGGCGTCCTTTAAAGGTTAATAATTGCCTAAAATGGTTTCATGATCAAAAGCACTCACTTATCTAGTCTTTTTCTCGAGTGTTCCATTTTGTATTTGAAAAATAGTGTCAAAACACCGCGTTATCAGGGCTGGGACGTATTTTTCGCGCGTGACGTCATTATATCACGGCGTCGCGTCGTGGCGCGGGAGTGATGTGGTCGTGGCGACCGGCTGAGGCGTGGTCGGGCTCTTGACGTCATCACCACACATCCAAAATGACAATTCCAATTTTAAATTGCATTTCAAAATGATGAAATTGGCAAAGGTAACTGAACGAAAAAAAATCTTACGCTCGTCGAACTTTTTTCGTTCAATTACCTATTGGCACTTTTTGCTGTTGCTTCGAATGATGAAATGTAGGAAGTTAATTTTATACTCTTTTTTCGATTGAGTACTCACCTCTTTGGAGTTATATTTGAAATGAAGGTTAATCAAGCAAATGAGTAACAATTGTTTTTGTATAATTATATAATGTATAATTTTAAATCAATTCCAATGTAGAGCTCTTTTAATAATCATCATATCAGCCATACACTAACTGCTGCTGAGCATAGACCTTTCCCAAGGATCTTAAAATTGGGAGAATTAAAAAAAAATCAATTCAACTTTTTTTTTATTTTTTTTTGTGCGTTAATGCAATTCGCAAATAAAAATTAATTTACATCCAGCATTAATATTGAACGTCCCACGAATTTACATTAAAGATTATATGTATTTCTGTGTCAAAAAAACAAATAGCATTATCATTTTCGGAAGTAACTGGATGCAGTTAAGGTCAGGTCGATCCGGCAGTTAATGGAGACGACCTTTGCCTTTGGGGAAATTCCAGTCAACACTACTGGTGTTTGTTGCTGACTCAACTAAGCTCTACATTGCGACGACTTTAAGTCTATTTAAGTAACAAACGAAATTTGCTTCGAATTTCATGTCGAAAACTCTATATTTTCCACGCTCTTATTTAGTTTCACCTGTCTGTAATGGCATTTAGCAAGTAAATATTTTGAACCTGAGATTTTGGAACATAGGTAATATAATTTTAATTCGGTATAATTTTGGACATTATAGTTCAACATGTATAAATAATGACTAATAATATTTTAATATTGCAATTTTTTTTGTCTGATTTGCAGTCACTCATTCACTCACAGTCATTTAATTATATTTTAATTTTATTTGGCATCAATGAGGTTATTATTCCTAATTTAACTCTAAATCCTACTGTGTCCTTTTCTGTGAAAATGGGCGCCAAAGAAGTATACTATTATTACGATCTGCCTGAAGGTAAGACTTCACCAGATAGCACGGATACTTGCCATACCGGAGTAATGCGTTCTCTACTCTTATTCCCCTACACCGGAGCTTCAGAAATCTTACTTTTACTTAATGCAGAAATAAAAGACTAATGGACAGTGTTATTTGATCACAGAATTGGGTTATTTCCGCCCAAGTGTCGCTCAAATTCGAGCTAAAATTCTCAGTTATATGATAAAAAAATATAATAAATTGAGCTTGTAATTGCATTGCGAATCATTGAAGTTTTACCAAAGGTTAGTGAATTTTAGCTTTTATAGTTACGAACTTTACCGTAGCTAACAGCCGTAGTCAGAATAAACAATTAATTTATAAGTTCACTAAATTTGATGCTTTCACTATCGATAACAATACAATGAGTAATTGGTGTGTCAAATAAAATAAATAAATGAATTAATTTGACGTCTCTGCGTACGGCTGTTAGTTGTCTTGTAAGTTTTTTTGGGTATCGCTACAACGATAACAGAGTCTATTATGTTATCATAACAACACGGGTGCGGACTTAAGGCGCGCCGTCAGTCGCGGCACTCCGCCATCACCGTGTATACACCTCCTTAAAGTGCCACAAGTGCAGTGCAGTGTGAAAAGTGAAACGACAAAGTAAAAGGAACAACTTTTTTCTTTAATTTCTCTCCTTTCTTCCAATAACATTATTATAACCACTTAACGCTAATCACTACTTAAGTAGTAAGACAGTCTTAAAGATGAGTAGAGCTACTAGAGATCTGGATCACAGTCTTAAATCAATGGGGGTTCAGTGCGTCGCCGGTAAAGGTACTATGGGCGAAGGTAGAAGTCGCAGTACAGGCGCGGGTGGCGCGCGCTCCTTGGCGTGTCTCTTGACGTGTTTGGCGAGGTGGTCGGAGCGCATGAACCGGCGGCTGCACACACGGCACCCGAACTTCTTTTCCCCGGTGTGCGTGCGCTTGTGGCGGGACAGTTCGTCCGAGCGGGAGAACCGTCGCTCGCAGCCCGGCCACGCGCATCTGAATGGCCGCTCTCCGGTGTGCGTGCGGGCGTGTGCTTTCAAATGAGACGATTTAAAGTAGTTTTTCCCACAGCCCGGGTACGAACACTCGTAGAGGCGACGTCTCGCCGCTGGTGCCGGTGCCACTAACCACAGAGCTGTAGTAGGTAACAGCGCGCCCGGCATTAGAACTGCCGGCGCAGGTCTAGGAGCCAGGGGCACCCATCCCGGCGTTGACGCAGCGGGGGAGGCTTGCGGCGACTGGGCGGTGGGAGGAACGCGCTGTTCCGGCTGAGGTTTCGGTTGGCACTCGGGGTGAGGTGAAGGGACTCTCGCTTCTTCCACCTTGATGATCGGAGGACTCACTAGGGGCACGGGCGCGGCCGCGGGCACTGCCGCATTCTGCGCTTGACTCGCGATGTATTTGACTTGGGAGTACGAGTGTCCGCGGTTCATTTTGAATTTCAGTGTTTTCAGGATGTTCATGCCGCTGGGTGGCGGTGGTGGCAGCGGCTCAGGGCTGCAGGTGCCGTCCTTGTGCGCACGCATGATGACGGAGGGGCGGCAGGGCTCCGGTGGCGGTGTTGCGAGCAGCAGGCGAGCCAGCTCGCAGCGTGTGCGCTTACTGCATTCCTCCTCGCCTTCTGAGTCTGAGGGTTGTGGAGTCACCACCCCCAGGGGCGGAGACTCCCGGGTGCGCTTCACGGCAGCCTTCTTAAAGGGCAACTCGACCTGTGGGACAAAGACATAAGCATAAGTGAACGGTCTCCACTACGGCCGAGCACGCGCGCGATGCGTGATCGCGCTGCGCGCTCTTGCCGTACTTTCGATTGCACAAATGGCACAGATATTTTCGTCGGTTCGTTGCGACACATTATTTTGTTTTTCTGGGTAAAGTTAATTTTATTCAATAATATTAAAGTTAGTTTTTTTTAACAACAAAAATAATTGAAACTCCGCGAAACTCACTTTGTTTTCCATCAAAGGAGGAGTCGACGGCGGCGAGAGGGGACCGCAAACTTCGAGTAGAGTAGACATTATGATCACAATTATAACATTCAACGCAATAAACCTTTCTTTTTTAATTCACAAAAGTTATTGTTTCGGCTCGCGTTTCCGCTCTTCCGAAGCGTAGTATTCGGTCAGCGGTTGGCAGACGAATAAACCGCTTCGCGGGCCGTCGCCGCACGAAGCATGGGTGAGCTTGAGGCGCGCGGGGGCGGCAGCCAATGGGAGCGGGCGGCGCGGCCGACTCGGCCAATGGCGCGACGGTGATCACGCAGCGAGCGCGTGCCGGCGCGTGGCGTTCACGTGCGCGCGGACTGACGGCGAGGTCGCCGCGTGACGTCACCGGCGCGCCCCCGCATGACGTAGCGAGGGGCGCGGGCACGGCAAGGTCGCATCGCTCGCACTCGCTGCATCGCTAGCCACCTATCGATGTCATCCGTCTGCATGCAGCTTTACTATTTTGACAGTGTGTCGCTGACCTCGCGTCATCAACGATTGCTCTACGGAATTAAGCGAACCAGTTCGATGGTGCACCAGTCTATGTTAATAATAATAAACAAACGCATATAAAACACTTCATCGAATAGTATACAGATCTAATGCATACTTAGTTTTATTATCACTAATGTCAGGTTATGTTATTTATATTGAATTTGGTCAGTGTTGTTGTTTTGTGGTAGCCTTGTCCTGATTAGATTGCGAGGAGTGATTGGGATGTTACGTGGCCATATTTGTGAGAGCGTTTGTTTATTTGTTACTTGTCTGCTTGTCTCGCTTGATGTCTGCTGGAAAGTGCGATAAAGAAGTGAAACAATGTGACTCTACATTCAAAATTTATGTAATATTCAAAGTGTTAGATCAGGAAGTTACTTTAATTAAAATGTATCCGTTACATTTCTCGGTACACTTTATTGAGATGTTCCAAGAAGCGCTATGGTTATTTTATATTTGTTTGGTGTACCCACAATACAATGTTGCAATATAGAGCGGGCGCAACACAATAAATCACTTTCATTGTGCTACTATATAAACTTATTCGACTCATTACAAATAAACAGCTTTCAGTTTTAATATTTCATCGTCCCCCAATAGATCAAAAAGTTCCGTGACCTCTCTTCTTGAAATCTGCCATTTAAATGTACCTTGTCGAATGAAGTAAAGTTTGAATAAATTAGATGAATAAAAAAGGTGATGCTGTAAGTTTTGCACAATATAGCGATGGGGTCACAGTGACAAAAAAGACAGTCGACTCGAAACTGTTCCTCTATATTTTGCAGTTACGAAAATGGGTATCAAGTGAAGTATTTAAGAAATGAATGAATGAAAATGTCGTAAATATTTGCGAAATAACTCCGTAGTAAGTGACTCTAGATATTTTGCAATAAGTACCTACTCACTACTACACCGTGTAGAATGTATGCGGCCGTCAGTGTTGCCAGATTCGATTTTTAAAAATCGGGAGGTGTTATAGAAAAAAAACAGTAGATGTATGGAAAGAGCTACAAGAAAAACAGTATATGCGTACTTTTTTCGATTTGGGTGCAAAGTGCACCCCCCCCCCTAGAATTGGAAAATCAAATCAAGATAAAGACAAGACCAGTAACGAAGTGTTTCTGTGGCTTCTACCGCCCATTAAAGCTAGTGTTTTTAGACAAAACATTAATTTTAAAATTAATAACTTTACCTACATTATTAATGGCCGAAAATGCAACTCAAAATGCAATTTAAAAAAGAAAATCGTATTCTAAGAAAAAACAGGAGATTCGTGTAGAAAAACAGTAGAACAGGAAAAAATTCAGAAAAACAGGAGATCTCCTGTAAAATCTGGAGACCTGGCAACACTGGCGGCCATGGCTGACGTGCACTCCTATTGGTGGATATTACGACACGACGCTTCGGTGTGTGAGTGCGTTATGCGTAAGCGCAGCGCGGGAAAGTGAGCGACCACGCGCTGTCTGCGTGATACGGGGCTTGGTGTAAGTTATGAGCGGAAGCGGGTTTGTGTATGAGTCATCGCTTTGTTTCTATGATGTGTATTTTAGAAGGCTTACTGAAGTTAAATGTAAAAGAGATTTTTTTTGTAGAACAACAAGCATTTTGTGAGTGAGTTTGCGACATTTAATATCTAATTTTTGTTTTCTGGTAATGGTCTTACAGGTTGTGGTATGGAATATTGTTTAATACAATTACGAATGATACATTTTTATGTAACTGAGTTTTTTTCCTATTATATTACCAACTACGTCCACGTTAACTTTAGTTTTTCGAGAATCCCTCAGGAACTTAACATATTTTTGAGCTAAAGTTATCCTTTATCACTATCTCCATTCCACTATATTATGTGCCAAATTTTATCCAAATTCGTTAAGCCGTTTTTAGATTTAATCAAGGCCTGCAATAAAATATTCTCCTTTGAAATTTACTACCCTTTTCACTACGTTAGGGGAAGAGTTTTTTATTTTAGAATTACACTATAAATACATACTGAGTTTAGAGTTAATCGTGTGTAAAAAATCATCCATATAAAAATTTCGGCACGCTCCAATTGAGGGGTGGTTTAAGTAAACCAATAATGGCAAAACTTATAATTCATTTAGATAAGTATTCGTACCAAGTTTAAAGTCTATTGACTCAAAGGATAAGATTTTTCATACAAACTTTCAGCCCCTATTTTTAGCCTTTTAGGGGTACATTTTCGAAAAACCATGATACACGTTATTCTTGATTTCTATTGGGTAGGGTTATGTAAGACTCTTACTAAATTAGACCCGTGGAGAGACGCCCCTTGCTATTGCTATTTTAGAACGGATTGATCTTCCTTTCCAGCGTCATCTCATGGCTTGCGCCAGCGCTGCATGTGTGCGTTCGTTGAACCCTGCGCCCGCGCGCCTGTGTGCGTGCTTTGTTTGGGAAGCTCGCTCGGTCGGCTGGCGATGGTCGCGGACTGCGGTGCGGTGACGTAGCTGCATTCAGTTACTCATTGCCACCGATGCTCGGCCCGATTTCTTCGCTTCACATCCTTCAACAAAGTACTGTGGACGACGTGTTAGTTATAACACTTTTTTTATCATCAGTCGACTGATAGAAGTAAAATAAGTATGTGTTGTGGACGTTACACTAACTAAGGCATTAACATTTTAGGTTATCCAGCATTGATAATTGTCGAATCTAGTTTCAAAAGTCATTGATTGGGCTCAAATATAGAGCTGACATAATACCTCAGTGACTAAAGCCTTAAATAATTTAGACTAAAACAAAACATGGGCGTCGCATACGTGTTGCTCTATGATGGGTCCAAAGTTCTCAATCGCAATATTTTAATGATATTTAGGGAATCGTAATATTATTCTTTGAGGCACATTCAAATATTTCCTGTTCTAAAGCAAAATCGTAGACTTTTGCTATTTTGTTTACCAGCAATCGGCTTTGTTCACAGTGTAATTTTTGCCTTTTAATTGATTTTAGATAGTAGGATGCGATACGGATGATCGGCAGTATGATTTTCTTATCAAAGACACCAATCTAATTTATTTTTATAAACTCATTCTTTGTGTAACACACAGGAATCAACTAATATGCTTCCAATGCCTGTTTGTCTGTCGCGAAATTCAACCACACAAGTGATGGAGGCTCTACCTTTTGTGTGAAAATAGGTAGACACCTGAAATTTTTCATACAATGTATGCTATTGCGGCCGCTATCACAACAAATAATAAAAAACAAAATAAACTTTAAAAATTGTGTAAACAATAAATGTTCTTCATCAGAATAAAATTTAATTAAAATAATAAAGGTTGTATCACTCAGATCACAGAACTCTGTAATCTTAGATGTATCATTACAAAAAATATATGTTTTTCTCAAACATGCTTGAAAAATGAAGCATTATTTTGACAAACTTCTTCGAGATAAATCGAAGTTGCTGTACTGGCCACATGATGTTCGTCATTGATGTTGAAATGTAGGAAATCGTTTTTTTTTAATAATAAGTTCTGACTAAATACTAGGTATGTGTTATGGGATAGTCCCGGTGAAGTCACTTAAAAAAGGAGATCTCGCGGTTCCGCTCTTAACAGCGTAGAGGGTATTCGCAGGGTTTTTTAGCGGTTAGTATGCCGTAAGCGCTCGTAAGCCGCGCGGACTGCTTAACGGCTTCTCCGTTTCGCACCCGTGAGACCTGCGAGAGGCTAGGTGTGAGGTCCGTTAGTTGGTGTGCACCTTAAGGGTGCTAACGCCCGTAAATAAAGGTTTTAATTCCTGCGCATTATTTGAGAATATTACAATACAAGCCTTGGCCACAACAAGGCATTGATGGATTTAGGTACATGTGCCTGGGCCCACATTTCACTCATGTTCGTCCATCTATGCCTCTTTTGCTGGCCGCTGCAGTAATCTATATATATGAAACTCAAAGGTGACTGACTGACATAGTGATCTATCAACGCACAGCCCAAACCACTGGAAGGATCGGGCTGAAATTTGGCATGCAGGTAGATGGTATGACGTCGGCATCCGCTAAGAAAGGATTTTGATCAATTCTACCCCGAAGCGAAGCGAGGGCGGGCCACTAGTGTACTATATATACTTACTTACTAGGTAGGTACTTACTTATAAGAAGAGTTCTTTTTAATTTATTTTATTCAGCCAGCGTTTGGCATTTAACAAGATTGTTTAATACTAGATTGTGCAGTGCATTTGCCCGGGATAGCGAAGGGTGCGGGTTTGAGTCCCGTCTGCTGCCTGGTCCATTTGGAATTTTTACTAGTAATATTATCTTTAGATTGTTTAATACTATTATGATGTTCGATAATATTTCTGTTTGATTGGAACTGCTAAATTCGCTTGAACTTTTTAATGAAGTTAGTGTACCTGCGTACTTATACTTAAATTTTTAGAATTTCTGCAAATACAATGTTCTTCATCTAATACCGGCATTTTACTTGACTATTCGTGTATGCTATTCGTAAACTTGTCATCAGTTAGTCCTTTTCTTTCCATATACTTATAAAGCTTGATAAGGACAGACTTGTCAAGTTTACAAATAGCAAATACAAAATAGCCACGTGAAGTGCCAGCATAAATTATTATTATATTAAATTATTTAGGTATTGTCTGCGATTTTTATCATCTGA